AAATAGATGGATATCGGACCATACTAAACACTATAATTCTTATGTTTTTAATCCTTGTAGCAGGCTCCCTGTCAAATAGCCTTTTGAAAAACACAGGGAAAATTAGATTAGATTTGTAATTTTTTAAAAAGGAATTAATAAAAAAGATCCCAAGAACCTTGATAGTTGGATAGTCCCATTTTGAATACAGAATGCACACTTCCATGAAAGAACAGAATTAGTTTTAGAAGTCCTGCATGCTATTTCTAGGGGGTTTTTATGTTGATGCCAAGAAAAAAGTACTTCTTTTGAAATTTAATTATATTTACAGTTTGAATTATTGGTAGAGCTGCATATTAAGAGTAATTTACTGAAATTACAAAAAATACCTAACACATATGTGCTGAAAATCGCTTTCTTTCACCAAAGTCATTGCACTTTCTAAGCAACAAATGATTTATAACATATTTTCTAACATATCTACTTTCCAGCAAAATTATTCCTGCATCAATGCTAGGAAAGAAGCAGATGAAGAAACACTTAACTGTGAGACAAGAAAACCAATATAGAAAAGATGATTAATTCATAAACTCAGGGTTTTTAAGGTCAGATGAACCATTCTAATAATATAGTCTGATTGTATAAAACAGACCATAGAATCTCACGTAGTAATTTCTGAATCAAATCCACAGCTTCATTTGAAACTGCAAAGTATCTTCAGAATGACATCTAGTTTTAGTATGTTTTCTTCCCATAAGTAAAAGTATACTACATGACTAGGGACCTTTAGGTAAACAGCTGTACTTTACTATTAGCTCGAACATGTCTACTTTCCCTTCATATTGTAAAATCTTACCTTTACCTCTTAGGATAGATGACTACTACTGCTGCTACTCAAACTCTTTACCTCTGGACTTCATTTCGAATGAACTGAATGGATAATGATTTTTTAAAATGAATACATTTATTATTGATAGTATTTTTAATTACAGTATTATTTTAAAATATTAATACTACTATAATTCATGTTTCGAAAATCTTATATAGTTCCTGTAACTCTTTGCATAATTTTTGCAGTTTTTTAGCATGCTGTTTGAAATGCAGTTGCATTCCTGTGCAAGGAACCACTCTGGCCTGGTGCAGATAGCGAGTTATTTCCCTGTTGCTGTCTGGAAATGGTTAGCTGCTAGGTTTCTGCTTCTGTAGCCCAAGGTTATATAAGCTGCATGTTCTCTTAGGAGCTCAGGATCTGTTGCTTATATGTAATTTTTTCTGAAGTATCATTCAGGATCTCAGCATTTTGTGCTAAGTCTATTTTTATTTGTAAATCTACCTGAAAGTTTAACAATAATTTTGTTTTTTCTTCAAGTATTTAAGTTGCAGTAGTCAAAATTTTAGATCTCCTCCCACAGACTTACACTGATGGCAGTTGCTTGGTTATAGAACATGAACATTATGATTCATGCATTTTCTGTTTATTAAGGCACGGGTAGACACACACACACACATATGTATATATATGTGTGTGTGCGTGTGTATGTGTGTGTGTAAGTTTCTTAACTGAATAGGACATTAAGCAATGGGTGTATTTGTATTACTCCTTCTTTTATCTAACTCATTCATAATCTCTTGCACAAATGCTCTTTTTAGTCTGATTATATTCTCTAATCTTTCTTTCAAACACACTCTCCGGATGGAACTTTTCATTGCTAGAGTTGACAGAGTATACATGTAATTGTCTTCTGTCTTATGGGAAGGTAATGGAGCTCAAGTATAATTCACAACTCAAGTTTAAGTCCTTAATTCCAAATTTCTTAACATGGAATATCTTTGAATAGTATATTCCTATGGAACACCAACCAGAAAATGCATAATTTGTATTTCTACTCCTGCTGTAATTCATGTTATCCAAAGTTTGGCCCACACATTAAAAAAGTGTACATCAGAGAGCAGATGCTATAAGAATACAATGCTGATGCAGAACTACTTATTTTCTGAGTAGGAATTCCAAAGTGAGCTGGGTTGTCAAGATTATCAGTCCTGTTGAACGTGAGCTTTGGCAATTTGAGAGATGCATAATGAATCATTATTTGATTTCATTATAGGGGGTATTCCTCCATGAAAAACTGGACTTTCATCTGAGTGCATGGAGTAAGGAATGTGTGACCAGCCGTCATGCTTGAGTTCTGCAGAGGAATTGCACATTGAGTAGCCCTCCAGGAACAGATCCATGCCTACGTGGGCTGATGCAGAATACAATTTCAGAAGTAGTACGGGGTTTAGGTATTCCCATACAGATTTGTGTGGATCCAGAGGTCATGCTTCCTTGCAGTACTGGAAATCTTACTTTCTTCTGATATTTATTATATTTTATAATGTGACTCTCAGTGTTGCTAGTGACTTATACATGGTCTTTTCAGGTTTACCCACACACATCCTTTCGACTTTTTCAGCTTCATGTTTTAAGAATCTCATTCATGAGGAATCTAAAATCAATCTTAATTTTTAGGAAAGACTCAATCTTTATTGATCTGACTGCAGTTGTCACTTGGACAAAAATTCTCCAATGTGCAGGTTACAGTCAAATAATCAGCTCTCCATATGTAGAGTAGACCACAGACTGTCCCAGAATCTGCCTTTTACTTGTACTTCAATCATTAAGGAGAAAATGAAAGGAGTTGACTATTTTCAATCATGTATTACTGTCATATTAGTAGGGTAGCTAACTGAGTTGACATATCACAGAATATTAGGAGTTGGAAGGGACCTTGAAAGATCATCCAGTCCAACCCCCCTGCAAGAGCAGGAATTTGAATTTGAATGAGAGTCTGCTCATTGAGCAGTAGTAAAAGCTTTTTAAGTGCATATGAGGCTCATTACTTTCGCTGTGTGACATTGAGAATGCTTTTACAGATGATACTAGGCAGTAAATTATAATATAGCTATTTACTAAAGAGCACAGTACTATTTTCCAAGAAAACACTGTTTTCCAGTGTTGCCATTGAATTCAATAGAGAAATTCCTCTTTGTTTTCACCAGAATAAAAATTTAATTTCGCTGCTTTAAGTTCTTAAATTCTGAGCGGGTCTATTTTTCTTCTGATAGGAGGCTGACCATTGCTCATGGTTTTCAGGTTAAATGCAGTCTATCATGAATTCTCCTCAGTCTTTGTGACACCTTGAGTATACTTTATATGAAAGAAGTATTCAGTCATAATCTGTGGTGGACTCCTTTCCTTATTGTTACCTTATAACTAAAATCCAGACAAAATTACGGTGACTTACTGAAATCTAAATATTTGGTGGTTGGAGTCTGTGTTTCAAATATTTGTTGTTGTCCTGTGAGGCTATAGCTTAATGAGATCACAGTCTTCTGCTACTAGTCATCAGGATCTGTATTTTACGTTAAAAATTCATCTCTCTCCAATTGGACAAGAGTCTTGGATGCAATTAAACTGAGACCATTGTAAAGCTGCTTGTCTTCCAGTATATTGGATGAAAGATCACTGAAACCTTTTTCTAATGGACATCTTTTACTAAAAGTACTATCTTTGTGGCTTGATGGACACAGGGGAAGCTTGAAGGTATAACTCTGAAGATTATTTTCTAATGAAAATCCAGAAAGATTAAAATCCAAAGTCCTTATGAAGTATTTAAGATCTTTTAATCTCCTTTTATTGTTAGGCATTTTTGTTGTGGATACTTATGTAATTGCTTAATTTGATTTAAAGTGAACAGCCTAGATGAAATTAACTGCTAGTGTGTATAAATGTATGTGTGTATGTCTTTCCCAGACTGATACCTGAATGAACCTTGTCAAAGGTAGGGAGCAGAACATTTATTTCTGTTTGAGCTAGCTTTTACTTTAAAACTCTTGTGTCTCAGTGAGAAGAAAAAAAAACAAACCACAAAAACCTTAATATGAGGTCTCACTGGGAAAACCACTTTCTCCCTCTCCAAACATGTCAAGAATCTTATTTTTATTCTTCAGGGTGAAAGTATAAAATTCTCGAGTGCATTAATTACCCTATTGTAGCTTGGTTGTGAGACTAGTTGCGCACTAATGAAAGAGGGTGGAAGACAGTGTGTGACCCACACAGTACTGGACTCTGTTTTCAGGAGGAAAAAAGGAGACTAGGACTATACAGCAGGGAGAGCAGCCATAAGCCCACTGTTAGGCCTTCTTGCATGTGATTGAGTTTGAGTGGAAGCTTTGTGTTTTCTTCCTTTTTTTTCCCCTCTTAAATTTTCCATAAGGATGTGAAATCTGGTTTACAGCAACCGTCTGTTTCTCATTTATTCCTAGAGAATTCCAGTTAATTGTTGTTCCTAGTTTGTGTTGCCTCCTGAGATACAAAAATCTTTCTCTTTATACAGCTTGAACCTTCATGAGGTAAATGTTTACAGGAATCTGACTAGGAGTATTTTTTCATATAGTTTGTATGGCGTATTCAGTGTACTTAATAGAGCTTGAATATGTTGTATTATCTCATGTTATTCCTCTGAAAAGAAAAGGTGGTTTACCAATTAGTCCTCTGCAGGTAGCACTGTTTTGCACTAAGCATTCCAGCAGGGACATTGATTCTGTGACGGTCGCTGACATGCACCTTGATCAATGAGGAGTGAACAAATGTGTGGCTGCTGCAGACTGTAGTTCCTGGTCCTTGTTTATTTAATTTAATCTGCTCTTTTGATTGTTTGCTTGCTTGTTTGTGAAACTCTTCAACTTTTCATGGCTTTTTATGGATATGTTGTCACTGCACAAATCAGTTTTGGGTCCAGTTGTTTTTCATTACTTACACCTATTAGAAAGAAATACACTGGAAAATAAGATAACTTTGTGAAAATTATTACCTTCAGTGGAAGGTGTCATGCTACTTCTTTAAGCAGTAACGTAACTTAAATTTCTAGGTCCTCTTGGAATTTTCTCAATATAGGTATCTACTGGAATAAGAAAAATATTCCTTCTATATTTACTGATACACTGTCTTGTATACTACAGTGATCTTTTCTTTTTTCCAGATTACAGAACAGGCCCATGTTTCACACAAGTTAAGAACCAGATGTGTAAGGGCCAGCTATCTGGAATTGTTTGCACGAAAACCCTCTGTTGTGCAACCATTGGGCAAGCATGGGGCCACCCCTGTGAAAGGTGCCCTGCTCAGCCTCAGCCATGCCGTCGTGGCTTCATCCCTAATATTCGCACTGGATCATGTCAAGGTAAGCCTTCTGGTTCAAAGTGTCCATGGCTGTTTTGTTGCTGATATGCATCTTGAAAACCTTGTGTCCACTTAAAGTTACTGTTTTCCTTGTGTGTGTTCTATGTCTTACTTTTGATAGAATTTGAATATGTTTTGCTGCTTCCAGATTTTAGCTAGTGTACATATAGTACAAAACTCAAGTGCCTGGAAAAAAAATGAATGCCAATCAGGGAGCTATAAATACAGAGCATGAAAAAAGTCAGAATGTCTGTTGAGCAGAGCCATCAGATACTGTACTAGAGCACCAATGAGGCAACTGGCTTATGTTGCTGTAGCCCTTAATATATACTTCATTCATTCTACTGGAAAATTCACTCTTTCTTGTTACTGAGTTGTTTTCTTTCTGAAGTGATTGGTAGTTATTATATAGACTTTTTAAAAATATGTCATCATTTAGATAAAGCACATAGTGAACCTTCTATCTGTTCGGTTTGGATTATTTGTGCTAGGCTAAAAAAATGCATGAGTAGTGCAGTGCTGCAGTCTTCTATGTCTAGATTGATAAAATGTTTGAGAAATGGGAAAGTTTTCTTGCTTTCATACCCAAGCATTGTCAGACCAGGGCTGGGGGGAATCCCATGCTTACCCAAATAAGCTTCTACCCTGTTATCCTTGGATTCTGCTTGCTGCACCATTTTGTGTCATGGTCAGGCTCTTTGTTACTATCTACCGCATGAAGGAATAAGGTTCCAAGTGTAAGGTACAAAGTGAGGTTTATTTGGCTAAGGCATTCATTACTTGGATAACAATTACACCACCCTGCGAGTGGGGACTATTCTGCTTCTATTCCAAAATTCCTTATAATATGCCTAACAGGTATCACTCAGTTGCCAGAAGTGTCCTTGGCTGGCATCACAAGTGAGGCGAGACCACCAAAGCACAGGCCCAGGGAGTGATTCATACACCCTTCCCTGTGGTGTCTGCACTCACCACCTGGTGGTGCCTGAGCTGCTGCCACGCCAGCTCAGGCCCAGCAAATGAGAAGACCAGACCTTACCACAGCACAGCTCCTCCATCTGTTAACAGTGCAGAGTAAGGTTAGTGTTTGGGCTGAAATCAGATGCTGTAAGTCAACACAGTTCTTTGAGTTCTGATTGTGATCTGTATAATGAAATAAACAATCAAGGAGAGCAGAATCCTTTTTGATCAGTCAAACTCTAGTCAACCTGGGGTTAATCAGAGGTTCAAATAACTTTGGGTTACAGAGTTTTTTTGTTTGTTTGTTTGTCTTCTGTTCATAAAGTTCACAAAGTGTCTATATACTGTTCTGTCTCTGTGTATCCATTGTATCCACTTGGCTTCCAAAATCTGTGTGAGACAGTACAGCCAGGATACTGCAGGCATTTCATTTATAAGCAGGTCTCTGTGACAGGGTTAATATTCTTCTTAGAGAAGTTACAAAGTTCACACCAAGCACAGGCATACTGCATGTGATGAATGCATTTTGAGGCCCAAGTGTCCGAAGACAAACACTAGGTTTTACTTGGAAGGGAGCAACTAGGTGGGCTGGGTGTGAGTGAATGATGGAACACATCTTCTGTCTAGATATTGCTAAATCATGTCCAGATTCCTTGAAATACTTCAGAGATGAAACATTTGGTTTCCAGGTAAACTGGATTTCACCAAGCACTAGTTCTTTAGAAGAAAAATGCTTGCAGAAAGGTCATGCCTCTGATAAAGCCCCATTTACAATCTAGCTGTTGCATTTGGGCATTGTACTATTCTGACTAAATCAGCACAGATTCAGGAACTAAATCCAAACTTCTTCAGCAAGTGTACTTAAAATCAAATCCAGTGGTAAAAAAAATATAAATAAATAAAATTTGCCTTTTTCGTTGTCTATGAGCAATTATACCTGCTTAGATGAAAAAGTGTTGAATGGATAAGGTTTTAATATGTTTGTCCTCCCCCATCTGCATCTCTTTGTTCTCTGCATCCATAGTGATAAAGATCTGGTTGTGGAAGGGAAAAGGAAAAGAGAAAGAAAACAAACATAAATATGAAGAGGAAAGAGATGCTTTCTTCTGCGTCTTAAATAAAGTTTACCAGCTGCTTCATTTAATGTTGCATCTAAACTAACAGGAAAACTGACTGAAAATGGAAAATAGGATAATGGTTAAAATTCTTTATTTGACATAGTGAAAAATCTGCAGGAGAAAAAAGATGAAGAAATATTTTTTCTAAACACTTTAAAAGTGTAGTAATCATAAACAGTTATTTCAATCATAATAGAGAAAGGAGTGAAATAAAATTATGGTTTTTTAAAAAATAGGGAATGTATTACTTTAACTCTGTAGTTCAATTCTATACTTACTGTAATCCAAGAAGAGAAAATAATACGAAATTGATCTCTGCACAGAGGAAACTCTTTGGAAGCCATGTGGCTACCTTTTCTACAGTCTGCAAAGGAATGGGGTCTTCCCTTTACTTCTATTTCACAGCTTGGAGAACTAACAAAATCAGTTGATTTTTGCCTCTTCTGTTAAATGGCAAGCTGTTTGACAAGAAATATTACCTGAAATCTCACGAAAGATCCTCTTTAGGTTTTGGAACAAAACTTCCAAGCCTTCTCTCTTCTATGAAATTTTGGATGCATGTGAAATTTTGTTGTGAAGGAATTAGTATGGCTGCTTAATTCTGAACTCTCTGATAGCTAGGCTTTTCAAAAAAGCTAAATGCTTATGGTTGATATGTAGATCATGCATTAGTCTAAACCCTGTCCTCCCTTTCCTTGTGTACAAAAAGTTTCAGTCTGCTTTAGTACAAATAATTTCACAGAGGCCTCTGTGATCCTTGGTGTTACTTTAAGTGCCCATTTGCACTTGCACATTGAGTCATGTGATACTTTTGTGTAAAAACCTACAGAAATACAGGATGTTTTATATATAAAGAAATGAGGGTGGCGACCAAAAATCCTAAACACAATTTGAACTGGAAATAGCACATAATAAAATAAAATAATACAGGAAGTTACTGAAAGTAGGGTGTGAAGTGAAAATGGCAATGTATTTTCTAAGAACACTTATTTAATATTGACAGTCCAACCTAGAGCAATCTGTGAAATTCTAGTCCCACTTATCACTTCAGTAAAGTTGTGCAGATCATTTGCCATACAACTTACTCTGGCTGAATAGCACCTAGTTTCTACTGATTTGAGCAGTTTGTCTTCTGTCCAGAAAGAATATCCAACAAGAATTATCAAATCTAGTTAAGGTGGACAGAGCTGTAGTCCATATGTACAAGTAGAGATGCTTTCAAAATAAAAATCTGTGTTTTTTAGTGGCCATATATAAGGAACAATCTGAGGTCATGGGATAACAGCAGTAAGCTGTGTAGATTTGACTTAAGTATTTGAGCTATGTGAGTCATAAGTCAGTAATGTAATACATTTTGAGCTTATATGGAATCAGGTACAATATGTGAAGATCTGAGTTACATTACTCCTGTTATTGCCATATCTTACATTGGTGCTGAGGTAGAGAAATGTACTGGGGTTTGCTGGGGTTTTTTAATATTTTAATAATTTCCAAGCTCTCTATCAGCAAAAGCCTTGATGAAGTTTTGTATCTTATGTTAAGTAATCCTTCTTTTTTGTCCTTGTAGATGTTGATGAATGCCAGGCTATCCCTGGAGTCTGCCAAGGAGGAATCTGTATCAATGCAGTAGGTTCATATGAGTGCAAGTGTCCTGTTGGTCACAAACAGAATGAGGAAACTCAAAAATGTGATGGTAAGTGATGTTGTCAGAGAACATACCTAAAAAGTGGTTAAGTAAAGCATTAGAGTGCTTCAGTAATGAAAGAAAGGTTTCTAAATAGTTGCAGTCTCTGGCATGAACGGACATAACATCATTGTACTGGTCTTTTTGTTTCTTCACAGCATCATCTGGTTCTACTTGCCTGTTCATATTTTGTATTAGATATTTTTTTCTGTCTGACTCATTTGGGTAAAGGAAGTATCTATCCTGTTTCAAAATTTAGAACTAGTGATAAAGACCACACATCACATAACTACAACTGAGTTATTAGGATTTTGTTTGTTTCCTCAAAAATGTCCTAAATGCTCTAGTACAGGCAGGTATTTTCAGACTACTGACTACAGCATGGAAAGCCAATGTAGTGGTTTTGATAATGGATGGAAGAAGTTACTGCTGGGTATGGTTTGTGTTGAAGAGCCTGGGTAAGTAAGAAATACAGGGCAAATGTCCTTTTTTAGATGCAAAATCAAGTAGACTATGTTTAATAAGCATTGTTTAATAAACATAGATCATGTTTACTCAGTAAACATACTGATACAATTAAGAGCAGCAATTCTGTGTAGTTTAAAGTAATGCTATAGAAAAAATCCTGAGTTTTTGTGGGTTTGATGAAGAATTCACTGATTTGCGTGAATTTGCCATGCCTTTGAAAGAAATCAGAACTCAAACTTCATCCCAACCAGTGGGTACCTTCACATTCAAGTTACAAAGATCAGAGGACTGCTTGTTCAAGGCGTTGGCTTGTGGTTAGGTAGCAGTGTACATATGTTACCAATGACATTATACTCAGTATTCAGTTACATACAAATACATAGTTTGTAGCCAATTTTGGAAGTCCTCTCAGAGTTTTCCTTAGTTTTTGTCGTGGTTTAAGCACAGTGGGCAACTGAGCCCCGTGATGCCATTTTGTAGGCCTAGACAAATAAGAGCTGAGAGGGTTGGGTTTTTTTTGCTCACCACTTATGGTCACAGGCAAAAGACAGACTCATCTTGCGGAGAAAAAAAACAAAACAATTTAACCTTGTTACCAGTAACATCAGAGTAGAACAATGAGAGATACAACCAGATCTTAAAGTCAAATACCTTCCCCCACCCCTCCCTTTTTCCTGGGCTCAGCTTTGTTCCCAGTTTCTTTATCTTCCCCCTCTGCCCAGTGGCACAGGGGGGTGGGAATAGGGGTTGCAGTCAGTTCATCCCATGCAGTGTCTGATGCTCCTTCCTCTTCAGGGGTAGGGAGGACTCCTCCCACTCCTCTGCTTCCACGTGGCACCCTTCCCACAGGAGAAAAGTCCTTCACAAAGCTCCAATCTGGGTCTGCCCACAGCTACAGTTCCCTCACAGGTTAACTGCTCCAGCACACACTGCCTGGAGTCAAGGCCTCTTCAGGGGCAGCCACCTGCTCGTGTAGATCTGCTCCACAGCTAAACCTCCATGGGCTGCAGGCAGGTCAACCTGTGCTCTCGCCATGAGCTGCAGGGGGAACCTTGTCTCTGGCCACCTCCTCCCCCTCCTTCCTTCACCAGCTTTGGTATCTGCACAGTTGTTCTCCTCATGTCACTCCACTCTCTGCTGCAAGTCTCTTCTGATGGCTCTTGAAGAGTTCCTGGCTCTCTCTCTCGCACTGGAGCTGCAGTGGGGCTTGAGCTTAAGTTGAGGTTGAGTCAGTCCAGCCTAGTCAGGCCAGGCCAGGATCACACCACCTGCATCCAGGGTCATGCTGATCAGGTCAGGGCAATTGAGAGGGTGGGCTGGGTGCTGCACATTTTTTAAAAGTATTAATTCACAGAGGTGCTGATTGGCTTGGCCCTGGTCAGAGGTGGGTCTGACATTTAGAGGTTCTAGTAGCTTCTTACAGGGCTATCTCCATAGTTCTCTCTCGCTACCAAAAAAAAAACCCAAGAAAAACCCCTCACAGAAAACCCACTATGGTTTTGCCTATGATACAGATATGACAGAGAAATTAAATACAATCAGTTTGAAAATCACATTTTATAAGTGAATATGTTTCATCTGGTGGTGTTGCAAGTTGTTAGACTACCGAAGGGTAAGTAAAAAGTACCCCAAAGCTATTTTTCTCTAGTCCTGTCCTCCACCTTATTCGTTTTATTTTTTTAATGTTGACTAATTTCAGTTTCTGCTCAGTACACCATGATATTCCTCTCATGAGCTTTTCTAGGGGAAACCTGGCTATATCTTGTTAAAACCTTCCAAGAAGCAGCTTGCAAGAAGTAGATCTGCAACTGTATAAATAGAGCTTTTATTACCATAGTTGAAGAGAAATAGAAGCAGTTTGTGTATGTATCTATGCATAGGTGAGTGTATATCTCCCTAACTGTATACAAGAGTGTGCTGACAGGTGTCAAACACATGCGCAGATATTTAGGGCTCCTCAGGGCACAATCACATTCACAGGGAAACTAGGTCCATTTGAACCATTTTAGAAGTAAGGGAACAGCAGAAGCCTTGCTGACACCAGGAAAAAGAATCTCTATACCTTGAAGACTACAGAACAGGACAAGGTTTGTAGACCATTAGGACACTGTGGCACTATCTCCACAGCCCTCTGCAGGATCGAGGGAGAAACCAGAAGGCACCAAGTAGTGTGAGGAATCCTATGAAAGAAGATGACTGAAAGGAAAATTTGTAATTAGAGCCTCTTTCCTTGGAAGAATTAAGTCCAAGGCATTTCGTCTACTCTTCTGCTTTGCTCTGTTCCTCACAGGTTGCCATGCATGAAATAAGCAGCACATCCTTCCCTATTTCTGTGGGAGGCAAAATGGGTAGTGGGATTTTTCTTGCTAGGAAGGCAAACAGGAAGGAGTGGCTGAGTGGGATATAAGAGATTTTTAGATCCTCAATGAGGCATTTGAGTATAGGAAGGAGAATTGTAATGAGAAGAAAAGAAAGAGGGTAAGGTGCTTTGTTCTACCTTCACAAGAGCCCTCCTTTGGGCTTGCCCATGTTGGAAAAAGTGGAAAGGAGGTAACTGAGACCACATATCCACTGCTTCTGCTCTTTATAGAAAAGGACGCCATGCTTATCAGCTTGTGACCCTTTACTTATCTTATTTCTCCTCTCCATCTATGTGGAGAGAAGCCCAAAGGTTGAAGCATCCCTTTCCATTCATTGCTAACTGCAAAATCCCTAGCTGCTGTTGGAATTGTCCGCTGCTTGATCACTGGGTATTAAAATCACAACATCTGTTTTATTTCCCTATTGAGTAGCAGGAGTGAGAGGTGTGGGACATTAGTAATAAATGAATCAAAACAAAGTATGAAGATGTATAATAATATTAATACACTACTTGTTTTTTTCTGATCTTGTGCCCTTGTGGCTAAGAAGGCCAATGGCATCCTGGGATGGATTAGGAAGAGTGTGGCCAGCAAGTCAAAGGAGGTTGAGAATAACCTCCCCTCTGCTCTGCCCTAGTGAGATCATATCTGGAGCGCTGTGTTCAATTCTGAGCTCCCCTGTTTAAGAAAAACATGGAAATACTGGAGAGAGTCCAGCAGAGGGCTACAAAGATGAGGGGACTGGAGCATCTCTCTTATGATAAAGGCTGAGAGACATGGGACTGTTCAGCCTGGAGAAGAGAAGGATCTTATCAATGCTTATAAATATCTAAAAAGTGGGTGTCAAGAGGATAGGGCCAGATTCTTTTCAGTGATGCCCTGCAACAGGACATGGGGAAGTAGGTACAAACTAGAACACAGGAAATTCAAGCTCAACATGAGGAAAAATTTCTTCACTTTGTGGGTGAGAGAGCACTGGAACAGGCTGCCCAGAGAGGTTGTGGAGTCTCCTTCTCTGGAGATATTCAAAACCTGTGTAGATGCTGTTCTCTGCAACCTGCTTCAGGGGAACCTGAATGGGCAGGTGGACTAGATGATCTCCAGAGGTCCCTTCCAACCCCTACCATTCTGTGATGCTGTGATGCTAATAATTTGGAAAGGTAAATTGTCAGATATCATTAACAATTACATGCAACTTAGTTTATGACTGAGTTGATATTACAATGTCTGGCACTACTGTCAGGTCAGAGGTGGTACCGTACTGATGTGGATATAACTTGCACACCAGAGCTAACTTGTATCCTGCCAGCTCAGAGCACAGGCACAGTGAACTTAACAGCTAGCTAAACCCCCCTTAAATCTGACATATACCTGTCAGAATTAATTTTGTTGGTATCTTAATGCTATCATTAGCTTCTAAGCAATGTACTTCTGCAATGTTTACACAACATTTAGCAAGTGAATAAGCGTCTACTGTTTGTAATTGTCTTTGCATAGCTGGCTATTTTTATGGTCATTTTGTATTATGTGAGATATCAAGCTGTAAGTACAGTTATCATGATTTTGAAAAAGTCTGAATACACATTATCTTTCAATAGAATTCAAGCTTGAGTTTACTGAGCATCACAACATAAAGTACAAAAAATTCAGAAACATTTTCTTGTTATTGTGCTATCAAATACAAACAACTATCAAAAACAATTGCAAGTGTTGAATGTTTTCCAAAATGTGATCATGATGTCTCACTGTAATGAGTGGATTTGAAAATGTTAGAATGGTAATCAACTCATCATTTCAAAGCTGAAGCAAAACCAGCTGTAACTGCTAAAGAAACATGTAGCGTATTTGATTGTGTAGGTGATGTATAGATTAGAAATGTATGCTTTGTTGTTGCTCATCTTGGGTTTGTGTTGTCAGTTGTACCATATTTCATTAGAGAGCTTTTATTTAAGTTGGTATTCTTTGAAATACATCTGTTAATGCAACCCCACCAGCTTCTCTAGTCACATAATTCCCCACGAAGAATTATGCAGATAGCAACCCACAGTCCCCAGCTTGCACCTTTTTTTCAGCGGGAGGGGGGAGGAACCATCATGAAACTGCTACTTGTCCATTTCCCCATGCTTCACAGCCAAGGTGGTAATGCCAGAATTATACTAGTGTAATACTATGCTTACATTA